AAAAAAAAAAAAAAATCAATGAGGAAAAGATAAATAATCCAATAGAAAAAGAAATGAAAGACTTGAACAGTTACTTTATATATAAGAAAACCAGAATGGCCAATACACATGAAAAGATGCTCAAACTTACAAATAACCAGGGAAATGCAAATAAAAATCATGAAGTATTACCATTTCACATCCAGTAGATAGACAGAAAACATAAACTCAAATAATATTAAGTGTTGGCAAGAATGTAGAGCACTCTCCTCCACTGTTGGTGGAGTACAAATTGGTACAACCACTTTGGAAAACAGTTCTACATTACTAATAAAGTTGAAAATGTATAAGCCCTAGGATTCTTTGGTATATTCTCTAGAGATACTCTTGTAAATACATATCAGGAGATTTGTACACGAATGCTTATAACAATTAAAAAGAAAGAAACTCTATCAAGCGTAGAATATTCTACAGCAGTGAAAATGAATGAACAACCACACACAAATGGATAAATCTCATTTTTGATGGTCAAGCAAAAGAAGCAAATCATAGAAGAATAACAAGGGTATGATTACATTTATATAAAAGTTTTAAACAAATGGATATACTCATGGATGGTAAAATTATAAAGAAGAGTAATAGAAGGATTATCATAGAAGTTAGGAGTGTGGTTACATTTGGAGGAGAAGGAAGGGGTGCAATGGGGAAGGGGCACATGGTGGCTTCCAAGGTAGTGACAATGTTCTACTTCTTAACCTGAATGGAGGCTATACGGATGTTCTCATTATTCTTTAAACTGTACATACTATTTTATATACTCTGCTGTATGCGTGATATTTTCAAAATAAAATGATTTTTAAAAGTATAAAATGTTCTATATATGTATACCTGTGTATGAATGTGTATGTGTGTGTGGGTGTGTGTTCCATAAAGGAAAACAACAGAATTTTCAGTGACAAAGTGTCAGAAAGCTGTTCACTAGACTTACTAAATTATTTCATATAATTGGCAAGTTGAATTGAATGAGTTTACCACAAAGTCCTGATTTTTGTATATATAGTTCCTACTAAACATATGCTTGGAAAGTGTTACCACGTGTCTTATTTAATCTATCAATTGAATTATTCATTCTCAAGTTGTCCACTTTCATTTCCTTTGGTAAAAGATAAATTCTTAATTTTAAAAGATAAAAATCCAGTTGAAACATGCCCATTCTTTTCTTAACCTTTATTTTTTTTTAAAACCAGCCTATGTTAACTATATCTTTCTGGAACAGGATCAGAAGAAAATTGCATCAAACTCTAAAGCCATTAGCATGTGTGACATTGTGAAAATACTAAAGATGAAAAAAAATCCTGTTTGTTTGGTTATATTATTTATATTAATTAAGACCTCTTTTCAATATATTAAATATAACACAGATTTAAAGAATCAGAAAGAACCTTCAAAAGTTATTTACTACAGTCATCTCTTTAAGTAGGACTCAAATTATCTCAAGCAAATAAATTAGCATCCTAATTTGAAAATAGCTCCTGAAAAGATTTTATAGCATCACCTCCCATTAAGCAGTCTGAAAAGTTTTTATGTCTAACTCAGAACCCTTTTAATACAATATGGACATACAGTAAACTTTGTTACCCAGATGACAGGGTGTGGATTTACCTAGGACAGTGGGGCCCTAGCAAGTACTCAACTCCAAGTCTCTACTGGAGGAAGTAGGAAAGTAAAGGGCTCAGAGCCCTACCTATTTGGCTCCAGTGGTTCCAAACGCCCCAGACCCCTGGCTTTCCCCAGAGACCTAGCCCCAAAGCTTGTCTCTCTACATAACCAATAGTTGACTATCATTTTGTTTTCACTCTGACTTGAGTTTATCTATAACTTTTTTCTCCCCCAACCTCCCTCCACTCAATTATCCCAGTAATCAAGAACTTTATATTTCCAGTGAGAATGAATACCCAGAATATTTTTTAAATCCTAAAAATGTTACCTATAAATGAAAAAAAGAAAATCCCAAATTTTCTAAGTTTATGGGTACCTTTTCTAAAAGAAGTATATTGGAAGGTCTTTTTTTTTTTTCTTGTAATCATGGACAATTTCAAAGTATATTCCCTTTTTTTACAGTACAGTACTTTTTTTACAATAAAGACTCCCTGAGGTCAGAGGCTAATTTTGTTTTAGTTTTTATACCTGACATACTCCATTGGACGACTACTGTGATATAACCTATGAGGGAATTAAAAATGTTAGCTGTGTTTAACTGAAGCAATGGAGGCTCGATAAAGTTTTGCCTTACATGATTGTTGCATTCCTCTTCTTCTTCATCGAAGTCTAGACCCTGATGAACAATCTCAGTAGTGCTGTTCTCCTGAAAGAGATTGTTCTCCAAATCAGATACTCTGGTGGCCTCAGTTGTGACTTTTACTTTCATACTATGAAAGCCAGTGGAGACCAATCCCACTTGCAGGTTTACAGGCTCCCCCTCGAACAGCAGGAAGTGTGAGTTTACCCCTTCTTTAAAACCAGGGGGTTGGTAATCATGTGGAGTCACTGCAAAATGAAAAGGGCAGAAAACCAAGAAAACTGTGAGTTTCAATAAAAGTCAAATTAATCTTTCATGTGTAGCAACAGGTATCTTTCAGATGCTTGCAAAATCTCTCTATGTAAAATATTACTTTGACACTTAAGAAGGAATTTAACTAGAGGTCTCCACCTACCCGCATTATAGTAGTGGAGTTTCATAGTAAGTATAACATCATTAGGAAGGGGTCCAAGGTTCTGCATCAGTATATATAATTTACGGATCAGTAGAACACTGGCTTTCTTAATATCTTCACTGTTTGTCCCACTTTCGAAGCTTGTACTACTGCTATAACCATATAGAAAAACAGCATACTTTTCAATCATATGTAATACTGAAACTCTATTTTAAAAAGAACAAAACTCTTAACCATATGATCAAATAAATATAAATATCAGGACACTTGAGACCATTTTTAGTATGTAAATTAGAGCAGTGATTGTACTTTCTGCAATGTATATACAATGGATTTCTTAAGGAGCAAGTTCCCTTAAATATGACCTGATTTTTTAAAAATTTGAGTTACAAATAACCACATGCCATAATAGTGAGAACAATGGATTTGGAATTAGGAGACTTGACATCTAATATTGGGTCTGCTGCTAACTAACTGAATGAGCTGTGTCAAGTCATTTAGACACTCTAGATCAGTTAGCTCACTTTGCAGGATAAGCTTATACACATTTCTACACCTTTCCAGATTTTCTATTTGAAAATTGGTCATCAGTTCTGGGCCCTTCCTCCATCTGGTTATCTGTCAGAGATGTCCCTTCCTCTTACATGGATTCCAACAATGGCTATCTATTCTTCTCGCTTTTCTTCTTGTCTACACTGCAATAACATTCTCTATGCTACTGCTGCAATAATATACCTAACAGGAAAATCTCCTCATGTCACTCTCTTGCTTAAAATTCTTCTATTACACTCATCACCTTTCAATCAAATTCAAGAATGGTATGTGTACAATGCCTTTCATGAGCAGCCACGCCCTCACCTACAACCTCATCTGCATTTACTACCCAGTTTCTTCTCACCCACGTGCATTTGCATATGCCGTTTACTTTGCTTGTATTGTGTTTTTCCCACTTCTTTTCCTGACTCTCCTCAATTCATCCTTTAATAGCTAGCTCATGTGTCACCTCTTCAAGGAAGTTTTCCCTGATAATTCTTATACATTACTCCTATGTATAATTGTTTGTATGCCCCCCTCTAGATTATGCGTGGCTCTATCTTTCATGTCCACAGTACTGTTTGGTGCCAGCTAGAGTAAATACTCAGTAAACATTTGTGGAATGAATGAATGAATGTACAAGTGGAACCAAATTACCTTCTAACTCTAAATATTTTTTTATTTCTCTCCAAAATTTTCTTCCCAAATTGGTTTCATATTTGAATAGCTTCTAGGAAGGACTATCAACTGCAATATATTTGCACAATGTCTTTCACATAGTAAGCACTCAATAATGAATAATAATCCTAAGTAATTGAGCTAATGGAGGAAGTGTGGATTCATAAAACAGACATTATTAAGTGAATACATCTGCTCCTTTTTTGATTTTGAACAACAAAGTTTTGTCTACTAAGATTTAACCAATTTGAAATAGGTAACTCAAGTGAAGGGCTATAGCATTTAGCTCATGGGATCTTTCAGTATACATCATATTCATAAAATCATATCCATGTAAAATCATACTCAAGACTCCCTTGTACTCTTTTAAAAGGGAAATTATCTTTACTATGGAAGAGGTGATAAAGTAATTTTGTATGACTGATCATTTAAATAAATGTCTACCTTTGGTTTCTAGGAGATTAGTAATATGCATTACCTTCTCTTCTCCTTAATAGCCAAAAGATTTGGCCGTTTCTGTTTTACTGCTCACCACTTGGCATATGTGCCTTCATAACAAAAGAGATTAATTTGGTTGCCAGTAGTACTTATATTTAAATTTTGTAGAGTAAAAGGCAACTGTTTAATGTGGGAGAATATGTACGGAAAGTGCTGTACAATCTGTACAATGCTATATAAATGCTAGCTTATGATGATTAATATTTTAATTCTCATTCCTAAAACTTACTTCCTCTGCACATCCTACTGCTGTCTGCAAGTTTTACAAATGAGAGGATAATTAAGGAAGTGAATCTCAGAGAGAAATCCTCAAACTGCAGTAAATGACAAGACAGAGCTAACAGCAGAAAATTGAGTATTAGGCCACGTTTCTCTTCAGAGTTGCTCCTTTCATGGGCACTCATTCCCCTGACTTGGAGCCCTCTACCACCCAGGCCTTTTCACCACCACCCACCCCCTCCACTTCTATTCCATCTCATCAGCAAAACTGAGATCTTTCTGAATCCAAAAGCTACCGGGATGGGAATAAATATTGCTCTTCAATAAAACATCTCCACCTACACCAGGGATCTTTTTAAGCAAATACCCATGTCTTTGCTCTTTAACCCACTAGTATGTCTAAAACTTGGCATTTTAAACTTGATAGGAAAAAGTAGTGCTTTCCAGTCTTTTCCATACTGGGACAAACATAAAAAATTACATTTGTATGACAGATTGGGAGAAGTAGATGAGAATGTTTGTATCTATAGGCAAATAGTTCAGGGGTTTCATTTATTCCAGATCCAGTCTGGCTATATTGAGGGCAAAAAAGATTAATATCTTGGCATAGCAACTGAGAAACTTCAGGTTAGTGTCTAAATAGAATCTTATGGAGTTCTTCAATCAACACCATGTAGACAGCCTCATTAATATAATTTCTACTGCTATGCCACCCACCAACGACCACTGCCTCCAAGGACCACTACCATCACTACCACTACCACCAGGTACCATTTACTGGCCTTTTAACATATGCCAGGCATGGGCAAAGCTTTGTATATGTATTATAATTTAATAGTCACAGCAACCATATGATGTAAATATTATGAATTCCACTGTGCAGATGAGAATACTAGTATTTAGGGAGGTTAAGTAATCTGTCCAAAGTTAGACCAATAATGGAGTGTTCCAAGCTAGGTCTCTAGGAATTGGAACTCTTAACCACCAAACTTAACTTCCTTTAAACCCCACTAACATCACCTATGAGGAGAAGAGGAAAAGAAGCAAAGGAAGACTCTACTCCCACCAACTTCATCCATGGATTTCAGAAATTTGAACAATTATTACTATTATTAATGGAGGGCTTTTATAGGATTAGTGGGGAAGTTACAAAGGAAATATAAGGCCTATCTATGGCTTCAAGAAGCTTATGTTTACCTCAGTCCTATTTCTCATGTTCATTAAACAATTAGATTCTACCTGTCAAAATCCATAGTGGCTCCTTCTTTTGTGTATTTGAATTTGAACTGGTATATCTCAGTCACTTTCTAGAAATATCAAAGGGAATAGAGAAAGAAATTACTTACAAAAAAGAAATCCAGAACCTTATCTGGTAATAGGTGAGGAATATTTTTATTGTATACCTATTATACTACTTACATACCTCTTTGTTTCACAGCATAACATTATTCAGGAATAGTATTTCCAAATATAAAGATAACTTAATTTTTCTCCTCCATGCTAAAAATGAGTTAGATGGCAAATTCTATTGTTACTGTTTCAAAGCTGGAGAAACTAAGAGGCAGAGTTAAATATCTGACCTGGCATAGGTAAATGACAGTGAAACCAGTTGAGAAATCATTCATTCATGTAACAGATATTTATCAAATGTCTACGTTGTGTTAGACGCTGGAGTCAAAGTGGTGAACATGACAAAAAAGGTCCCTGTTTTTCTGGAATAGACAGACTGGTGAGACAGTCAATAAATAAGTAAACAAAATAATTTCAGATAGTAATAAGTACTGTGAACAATATGAAGCACAAACTGTGATAGAGAATAGAAGGGAGAGGTGCTAATTTGGTTTGGAAGGCCAAGGATGGCCGCCTTTAAGGGATGATGCTTGAGCTGAGCCTCAGTGACAAAAGGGGATCACGTGCAGATCTGGGGGAGGGCGGAGTATCCTGGGCAGAGGGAACAGCAGTGCAAAGTTCTAAAGCAGGAAAGTAAGCCTCTTTCAGGGCCAAAGAGGAAGCCAAGTGGCTGGCAATGAGTGAGCAAGTAAGAGAGTGTAGGAGATGAGGATATGGAGCTTTATTGGCCATGATAAGAGGTTTGGATTTTATTCTAGGTAAACCAGAAATACACTGAAGTGTTTTAAGCATGGGAGTAATTTGCATGCTTTTAAGATCACCCTGGCTATTTTAATAGTGCAGAAGGAAGAAGTGGAAATCATGAGAGCAATTAAGAGGCTACTACAGTAATTCAGGGAAGACCAGAATGGCAACAAGAAAACTAGAAAAATTCAAAAAGGAACCAGGATCTATGACATCAGGTCTTGTTTTTTTGATCCTGCACTAAAAACTCAGATACCACTGCTATTTGCTCTCCTCACTGTTAAGAAAGCTAGAAACAAAGAGGGAAACATATCCTCATAAGAGACATACTCCATGTAAAATAACATGATTGTCTGGTAGTTGAAGCAAACGTTTGGCCCAGATACATTGTACAGCTTGTCCACAGATCTGGAGAAAGTCCGAAAGAGAGGTAAAGTGTATAAGTGTAAGTAGAACACAAAAAAATGCCCTTCATTCATCTGTTTCAATTTTTGGTCTTGATATTGTGGGAATGAGGATGTTGGATTGATCAGAAAGTCTCAATGTTTCTGTTACTTTACTCTAAGACTTGTTCCCCCAGCTCTACTGATCTTAAAACCTTAGCAAACAACTTAATCACAGGTTATCAGGTCCTGGAGAAATTGGCTCATGCTGCTTAAACTCTAAGACAACTGATTTGTAGTGGACTTAATTTAAAAGATAAAATATTTTTCTAGCAAGACAGTCTACTTGGGAAATCAAACAAAATTTTGAAGGCTGCTTTGTGAGTACAGTAGGAGAGGTATGTGACACTAGTGTTGCCTACCACAACAGGTTCACCCCAGACAGGCAAGATACACAGCATCCTCTCTTTGTTCATGCTGGGTGTAATTGCCCTGCCAAGCAAACCATGTCTATTCTTCCTGCCTGCCCATGTTTCACAACAAACTCTAGCTTTTCAATGCTCTGAGCTATCTTTTATTTTTTTAATTATAACAAGAGTAGATCCTTTAGCAGCTGATAATTTTATTAACATGTTATTTGGTCCCTGAAGCAATTCATAAGAGTTATGTTTACAATGGTTTTATACAAGATGCTAATCCCTTATAACTTCAATCTGACTCTGATTATGACAGAAGATATATTGACAGCAAGCATTGGTCTCTTCTTAACATTGCATAAAACATTTTCCTACTTTTCAGATTAATGTGTCGCCTAATAAAGATAGGCCTTTAAACCACTCAACGATGGTTTCTGTTAATCATACTGAATATATTCAGATACCAAAGCAATAGCAACATATATAGCCTTTTTTCCTCCCTTCACATTCCAATCCATTGGCAAGACTTTCAAGACTATCTCCAAAGCATATCCCAAGTCCATCCATTATTATCACCCTGTCCAAACCACCACTATCTCTCTTCATCTGATCTCCTTGCTTGCAAAGTATTCCTCCAGTAATTCATTCTCTGTTCTATAGCCAAAAAGGGTTTTTGAAAATATAAATCAGACCATGTTACTCCTTTGCTTAAAACACCCCAATGGTTTCCCGTTGCCCTTAGAATAAAATCCAAAAACTACTTTATCCCACAAGATCTTACACATCTGTCCCTTGTCTACCTCTCTGACCTTATCTTCTGCTTCTTTCTCTCCTACCCACTAAGCTTCAGGCTCAGGGCATGAACTCACAAGATGCCTTGTAGCTTAGGGCCTTTGCCCAGCGATACTCTGGAACATGCTGTCTCCAGTAGATGATGATAATATTTGGGCACTGCCCTAAATGCTCCACATGTATTCATTCTTATGCAGTCAGTACTCTGAGGTAGGTATTATTATCCTCATTATACATGAAGCTAGTAAATGTTAGAGCTGGGATTTGACTCCAGCACCTACAATGTTAACCACTGTGCTATTCTGCCAATCACGTGCCATTGCCTCTCACAGACCTGCATAGGCTGACTTCTCTGGCCCTTCAGGCTTAGCTCCACAGGCCTTCCACAGACTATACTCCAATCCCTCCTTCTCCATTCCCTGCCTCAGCACTCTCCAGCACACTACCTTTCTTTTATTTTCTTCATAGCATTAGGACTATCTGAAACTGTTTTGCTCATTTTTGTTTGTTTATTGTTTATTCTCCCTCAAGGATATAAGAATGTAAGCTTCCAGAGAGCACGGACCTTGTCTATCCCATTAACTCCTGTGTTTTTATACCTTGAACAGTGCTAGGAACATAAAGGGAACCCAATTAATATTTGTGGAATAAACATTCAGCCAGGATAGAGTTCACCCTCAATTAGGATTTTATCCTACAAGGATTTTTTTTTTAAAACAAAGTTTCTAAAACCAAACTGTGGCTAGAAACAGAGACCATGTATAGTTCAGTTCTTGAAATAATCTATTAAAAATGGATGCTGACCACCTCCAATAGGCACAAAGGAATAGATGGTGAAACAATAAGATTTTTGTCCTCACAGTATTGATACATAGCTATTCTTTTTTTTTTAAAGTAGGCTCCATGTCCAGGGTGGAGCCCAACACCAGGATTGAACTCACCACCCTGATATCAAGATCTAAGTTGAAATCAAGACTCAGATGCTTAACCGACTGAGCACCCAGGCGCCCCCACAGCCATTCTTTATAGTTCTATCATGCATTACGTTGTGTAAAACTTTCCTTAACATATTTACATTTTGGTTTACACAACTTATTAATACCCTCCACACATTTTATAGTGTTTAACTGTAGGAAAGCTACACTATCCCTCTTCACTACTTTACTTTTGTCAATTCACCTCTGTCATGAAATGGAGCAACCAGAACAAAACTTCTACTACAGAAATACTGCAACTTTGTGCAATGTCCAAAACTCCACTGGCCCCTGGACTGGGTAAGCACACTTAAGACAGAGGTTTGCAACTATTGTACTATGACAGACTCTGCACAAGATTGCTACAAATTTTAATCCATGTGTAAAATATATTTTTGTTTCAGGTATATGTTAATATTGCTATTGTTTCTTCAGTTTTGTTTAGAGAAGGAAATACTTCTACAGGTAAGAGTCAAGAAACATGGCACAATATTAGATAAACACCAAAAGACTATGTCTACATGAGAATGTTGTTTTGTGAGTATATAAAAGAATGAGAAGGGTGCCTGGGTGGGTCAGTCAGTTAAGCGTCTGCCTTCGGCTCAGGTCATGATCCCAGGGTGCTGGGATCAAGCCCCACATTGGGCTCCCTGCTCGGTGCAGTCTGCTTCTCCCTCTCCCCCTGCCACTCTCCCCTGCTTGTGCTCTCTTCTCGCTCACTCGCTCTCTCTCAAAATAAATAAATAAAATCTTCAACAACAAAAAAAGAATGAGATTAGGGAGGTAAGTGGTTGTATCAGTAACTTGATGCCAAATATAAACTATAAAATAGTGCAATCCCATGGATACTTTTAGGCATTATGAACATTACTATTCCATAGTTATACTGTACTTATTGCTGACTTGTTTGGTGTTCTTTTGAGTCTTTTAATACCCTCAAACATGACACTAAAACTTTTATCAATTAAAAGTGTACCATGGACACACAGGGGTTAGGGATCACTGTTATATGGAACGATCTGTAAGCATTAAAAATATTTTTTTCTAGGTTATAAATGATAGCTCAGCACTTCGTATTATAAGCTTTTGTTTTCTAACTTCATTATTTGCCTGCATCAAGCTCATTTTAACAGCACGCCCCCCACACACACACCCTCCAACCTAAGAGTTTTCTGTAGTTAAATTTGCTCAGCATTTCACTGAGCAAAAGCACTGGTTTCAGATTAAGAGTTTTTTATGCACAAGAAAACAAAATAATTCATTGCATTAAGAAAATGACCACTTTATTAACAATTTATCAGAAGGTTTTTGTTTGGGAAGCTTCCCCTCAAACCTACAGGGGAAAAAAAAGCATTTTGAAACTAAACAAGAGACAAAGATAAAAAGGGGTAGTTCAGGCATTGAGGAATTGTTACCTACCTGTATGTACCAGTTTTCCTCCACCTTGTTCAAACAGTTATTTATAATCTTCCCAAGAAAGGATATTAAAGGCTAAAAATGCTTAATTTAGTCTTGAATGCTACCAGTTACGCTAAATCCATAGGCTTAAGAAGGAAAATTGAAAGCAAGGAAAAAGGAAAGAGAAGAAGGAAAGAAAATTAGGAGGAAAATACAGAGAATAGAAGGAGAAGAAAGAACAGAGGGCTTCTCCCTCCATCTCTATGCCATTGCCACAGAGTAGTACAAGTAACTATTACATGTCCAGGACTATGATATTCACTCTGGGAGACAGAAAACAAGACAAGACACTTGTCCTCAAGAATTCAGAATCTGGTTGAAGAGATAAAGTAATCTACATGAATCAACTGAGAGTGTTAAATTGTGGGGTCCCATTAGAAAAGGAATTTGGAGAAGGAGGAAATTAGTGTGAACAGCATAGGCCAAGAGGCTTTCATGGGAGATTTGAACATAAGTTGGCCTTGAAGATGAGTAGGATTCAATAGGGAAGAAATTATGAGAGAAAGAAGAAGTAAAGATCTGAAAAATCTATGAACAGGTCAAATAGGGGAGAATTTAGTTGGCAAAAAAAGGAAAAGTTTAGAATTATGCTGTATTTTCCAAAAGGCCACAAACAGAAAGGATTCAGAACTGGTTAAAATAAATAATAAAACATGGTTTTATACATGCAGAGATTTTTAATTTTAACATGTTAGGGAATAGGCTCCTCTACGCTTTTTTTTTTTTTTTAACACCCCTAAGTAGTTTTTAAAATCTAATAATAGGGCGCCTGGGTGGCTCAGTTGGTTAAGCGACTGCCTTCGGCTCAGGTCATGATCCCAGGGTGCTGGGATCGAGTCCCACATTGGGCTCCCGGCTCAGCGGGGAGCCTGCTTCTCCCTCTGACCCTCTCCTCTCTCATGCTGTTTCTCTCTCGCTCGCTCTCTAATAAATAAATAAATAAAATCTTTAAAAAAAAAAAATCTCATAATAAAGAATTGGTGAAGTTTATAATAAAACACACTGGAAGAGCTTATGGTGAGTTACTTTGCTCATATAGTAATCTAGTAACATAATCAATAGCCTCAACTCAGGTAAACATATTTAAATATAATCCCTTCTCAGTGTGTGTCCTTACCTCTGGTTCCTTGGGATTTGTATAAAGCTGTTTAAGGAGAAATAAATAACATTTAATTTCTGAAACTTATTAGGTTACTCCTCACAGAATACATTTTCTATGTGAAGAGTTCAAATTGTGCTCTATTAATTGAGGACTGAGATATACATATCTCAAAATAATTTGTTATGGTTTAAAAATATAAATCAAATATCTAAGACTTTCTATATTATCTTCTCATTTGCTTTCTATTCTTAACCATACATAGCATGTTATACTCAGAAGGGCACAAAACTTCAAAAAAGTCTACACAACCATAAAAACAAACACTCCAAGTCTATAAAGTAATTTAAAAAAATGAAATCCTGATAGCCAATATGTGAAGCAGATAGTATGTCCTATATACTTTCCCATGTATTGTAATATACCTAAGAAATACATAATTTGTGATCTTTCATTAAAACTTCTGGTAGATTCTATTTTTTTAATTCCAAAATGTCATAGGACAGATAAAGAAATTCAGGAAGAAGTGGGGATAGTACTGTTTTAATGTTTTACTTGCCAAAAAAACAACATAGTAGAAACATGGGTTTGGTCTTTAAGTGTGTACTTACTGTAAGTACTGCCATGTGTAGCTTCAAGAGAAAAGAAAACTATTGTTATTATATACTTGTGCTGATATTATTGTTATTTTCAATAAAGGCTAATTAAAATTATTTCAGAGAGATTCCAAAGATTTGGGTAGAAGATCTAAAAAAGAGATACTAATTCACTCATTCATTCAAGTGAGTATAAATTTACATATATAGGGTTCTGCTGGAGAGGAGGGATGCAAAAAAAAAAAATGATAACTATCTATACTATCTAAAAGTTATATTTTAGTTTGGGAGGCAAAAGATATACAAAATAATTCATTTTTACTAAATATTAAATATGCCACCAGTATCTCCAAAAAATTGTCTTTTGAAACTAATCTACTAAAGTAAAAATTTTAAAGTCTGATAGGTCTATAAAACCCTTGCCCTACCTACATATATATTACTATAAACAGATTCTTTCTGCTTGGAAGAGTAAGCCAATATATAGAGATATAATCTAGTCTCTGATAAAAATTTAAAAACTGGAATACAAATTAGAAAATTTCTGGACCAGGGCTGGCCCAGTCGTTAGAGCATGTGACTCTTAATCTCAGGGTTGTGAGTTTAAGCCCCACAATGGTCACGGAACCTAGTCAAAATTGAAAAAAAAAAAAATTTTTTTTTAAAGAAAATTTCCCAACCATAATTTCATATCAAACTAGTCACCTATTTCACCCAAAGGACTAAAACTTTAGTGACACTGTGTGGCTATTTTGGTTACTGCATACAATTGATTTTGAGACTACATAGTGAAACTCTCTATTAATTATTTGATTAATAGTTCATTCATTCAAAAAGAGACATGGCCCCTGATCTCAGGGAACATGCAGACCAACAGGAGAGAAAACATTAAACAAAAAAGCAAACAGGTACATCATTACAATTGTGTTAACTGCTATGACAATGTAGCACAGGGTGCTTGAGAACATTAAACAAAAGGACAATCTAGGCTGGGGTGGGGGGGTATGTGCCAGGGAAGACCCCTCTAAGAAAGTAAATATTTAGGGTGAGACCTAAAGGATAAATTGGATTTAGCCAGGTAAAAGGTATGGGTAGGGAAGAGAATTTTGCAGGCAAAAGCAATAATACATACAAAGGGAAAAGGCACTTGGCATGTTCTAGAATCCTTGTGTGGCTTGAACATGGTTAGCAATGGTGAGAGTGATGACTTCTGGAAAGGCAGGTGGAGACTAGATCATACAGGTTCTCTGTGAAGGACTCTAAATTTTATTTTAAAAGCCATGGAAGATTTTCAGGCAAGAGATTGATATGATAAGACTTAGATTTCTAAGGGATGCCTGGGTGGCTCAGTTGGTTAAGCAACTGCCTTTGGCTCAGGTCATGATCCCAGGGTCCTGGGATCGAGTTCCGCATCGGGCTCCCTGCTCAGCAGGGAGTCTGCTTCTCCCTCTGACCCTCTCCCCTCTCATGCTCTCTCTCTCTCTCTCTCAAATAAATAAATAAAATATTAAAAAAAAAAAAGACTTAGATTTCTGAAAGAATGTAGTGTGGATAGTGAGTTGGAATGGTAGGGGATTGAAAATGGGAATAAGGAGACAGATTAGGAGGCTATGCACAATATAGTCTCTTCTTTATAATAATTATCTAAAAATACATACATACTTACTTTAAAGAATTTGAGCATAATATGAACTACAAAAAAAATGGTAAAATCACCCAAAATTTCACAACTAGAAATAATCATCATCTTCAACAGAAGAACATCTTTCAAGATCTCTAGATACTCAAACTTGACTTTACTCAAACTATTTTTAACACATTAATTATTTCCTAGTAGGAAATTAAGATACTAACAATGAGTCTAAGTCATCCATCTAAGGTATTGTCTTTTAATCTCCCAAAACAGTAAATTTAATCGATTCAGTCATACAGGTAGTCATTTAAGTAAAATAAATCCATCAAACGAGGTAGATAATCTTTTTACATCACACTGCTCTTTTAGTACATGTAACATTGTAATTATTTAACAAGTGACGCTATTAGAGTGTGACCTCCTTGAATGGAGGAATCACATCTTTCTCTCATTTTTGTCTCATCCAGTATTTAGATACAATGTCTGGCACAGATTAAATAGATAAGAAAGGAAGGGAGGAGGGGAGGAAATGAAGGAAGGAGAGAAGAAAGGAGGGAAAGAACAAGATAAGGTAGAGACAGAGGGAGGAAGGAAGGAGAGATAAAGGAAAGGAGAAGAGGGAGGGAATGAGGGAGGAAAGAGAAAAAGAGTTAACACATAGTGCTTATTATGTGCCAGGCATTGTTCTAAACATTTTAGATCAGTGGTTCTCAAAGTATGGTCCCTAGACCAGCAGTGTCAACATAACCTGAAATTTATCTGAAATGCAAATTATCACATCAGAAATTTTGGGATGGAGCCTGGCAATGCTTTAACAAGTCCTCCAGGTGATTCCAATGCAAGCTAACATTTGAAAACCAGTGCTTTAGATTAGTTCATTATCTCAAACAACCCTAAGAGGTTCTGTTATTATCCCCCATTTTGTATATAAAGAAACTAAGGTACCAAAAGGTAGGTACTTGCCCAAGATCACACAGGTGTTAAGTGTAGAACTGGGATTCCCTTTAGACTGATTACAAAACTTGTGTTCTTAACTATATTGCACTGCCTCTCAATGATGGATGCTCAAGAAATGTTGCTAAATGAACGGATGGTGGAGAATGAGTGGTGTTCAGTATGCTGGTGATGACCCTTTCCATTTAAACCTGTCCAAATACTAAGGGCCTTCAAAGTTCAAAAGCCATTTTCTCCAAAAGATTTCCTTCATGCTCCTTACTAGATACAACCCCTCCTTTTCCATATTCCTATTGTACACAAGCAGTATCTTTCCTTTAGCATGCATTAATTTCTAATGAGTATTATGGGTACTTATATCTGATATTTTTACACAAAAATATCAAGCTGATGTGAAAAAAAAAATCAATATTTAATAGCCTAATAGGACACAGGTACTGGCCAATCAGAATGGATGCCAACTTAGCCCAGAATCAGAAAGGATGCCAATTTAGTCTTAGCTGGGTTCCTGGAAGCTCCCCGTGGGCCAGATGTTAACCCTTTAGTTGCTAGATTATGGATAGGTCTGGAGAGATCCCAAAAGAGACAATGGTGAAGTGAGGGGGAGATAATGGTGGGGGCCACTCAGGGTCTCAGCAAAACAGCTATTTACCACCCATTACAGAGTATTTCAATATTTTAACAATAGGCACAGCTGGGCCAATGTATAATAGCTAATCATCAGCCACGCATATGAGTATCATTTCTCTTCTGCCATGCTCTAAAGATCTTTGTGTGCACAAGCCCGTATCTGTTTTAATTTTGTATCCCTCAGTCCCCCAGGTCAGTGTTGAATAAATCATAAAAAATAACTGTTCACTGAAAAAGGAAATGTATGAGTGCAACTAAATAATCTATTATAAGGCTATTCACCTCAAAATTCCTTATAAAGGAATAGGAATTGAGAAGGAGTTAAAAGAAGATATAGATGGGGAAAAGGAGGGGAAGCAGTGGTAGAAGGTTCATTTATATACATCTTGTCTCTTCAACTAGGACTAGAGCCTCTAATTTTTATACCTTCATAGCAGTCTTGGGCAGCAAGAAAGATCTGATATACTTAAAATTCAAGCTGCATTTTTAAAAATCCAAGGTACAATACTAGCTATTTGAGGAAACAGGTTATATACGTGCACCAAACATAGTTAACAAAATAACTATCATAGAATAAAAACTAATTATTCAAGTCCGTTTTTTCCTTTCATATCTGTGAATTGAATCACAACTATTTTGAACATGTTTAATGTGCTAAATGCCAGATTCTTGTCTCCCCTGTCCCACATCCTCTGGATCTCTTCCAGTGACTTCAGAGGAAATTCTGTGGTCAAAAAGATATGCGTATGTAAAAGAGAAAAATGAAGGTTTCCTTTCTAATTGATGAAAACAAGACATCAACAGGACAACAAAGACATAAAAAGAAACTTTCATAAATGCAAATGTAGGCACTAGTGCACTGTTAATACACAACAACAAAATAAAAGCTAAACTTTTTTTAAGGTATAAAAGATGTCTTTAATCCTGGTATAAATTTAAAAACATTCTTACGTATCTTTTTTCCAAAGCATCAAAACAACCTTGGATCCTGTCAAGAAATAAATATTTGATGTCAATTTGGACCAGATGCGAAAGCCAAAAAAATTCCAAGATATAGAACTGATTTATATATTTTGCTTTTAAGTACATTAAATTGGTAATCATTTTACCTTTCCCATTTGAACTCTTTTTTAAAACAGTGTCATTTAATATGTTGATACATCTTTATAATAGGTAAGCAATTTAAAGGTAGAGAACCACATCTTATTTTTCTTTTTGCCTCCCATAATGTTTAGAATACTAACACGCATATGATGAGTAATCAAATTTTGATTGATATTTTTCTCTTTTTAAAATTTTGTTATTGAAGTTGACATACAGTGTTATATTTGTTTCAGGCGTACAATATTTTTCTTTCTTTATACAAGTCCATTTTTTTCAAAAACAAAATTAAATCAGGATATTAAAATTATATTGAATATTGCTGTAAATTTCCAGGAAATTGTGAAAAAAAAGGAAAGAAGGAAGGAAGGAAAAAAAGAAAGGAAGAAAAGGTTTTAAGGAAATGATCTTACCAAATAAAGTCTTATGGGTAATTTCAACCATGATAAAAATAATGTTCAACTTTTGTGGAATTTCAATTACTTACCATTTGATAATATGCAGTGACCCAGGACATTTTTTATCTTCTCGAAGGATTTTTAAACTGAGGTCTACAAAAACAGAAACACAGTGTATTTTCCTTTACTAAATGATTACTGTACTAAATTTGTCCATGCTAAATAAGGGTATTTCCTTTAACTATTTTATTTATATAACTTAGTTTTATAGCTTATAAAAACATTTTGAATCTCTAAATATCTACTCTAAAAATAAATCCTATGTTGAAAACTAGCTTAGTTCCAATTTTGATTATAGTTTAGCAGTCTTCCCTTCTACAATGCAGCACAACTGAGTTGATTGCACATTCAATTTGTGTCACTTCTTTGCTTCTGTTGAATTCCGAGTAATCATAAGGGACTATTGAGATCATATCCATTAACCAATTTAAAACATGTACCTCTGTTGAATTCCGAGTAATCATAA